ATACTAATGCAGACAAAACAAGGCTGCACTGCAATGAGCCTGCAGGGGAAACTGGTTTCCCTTAAGTTTGTTGATTACTGCGTCTCATATTCTAATGCTTAGCAGTGCTGATACATGCAGAAATGCTGCGTGCTTTGCTGTGAGACTTAAGTGTTTCCAGCTAAGTACAAGCCGGTTTCTTCTGACAGTCATCACCCACGCTGCATTCTGCACCATGATTCACTTGAACATCTACAACCCACTGCATCTGTTGGTGATATTTGTAATGCAGACAAACACATGTGAACTGAAGACGTAGTGCTGGTTTGGCAGGAAGCTGTTCCCAGCGTGTTTGGCAGAATTGTGGGACATACTTGCAAACTGATGGTCTTGATGTTTGCCTTTGTCGGGCTTGGATTTAAACTCGATGTGAAGAATGTACATCTCAGCAGTTTAAAAGAGGCTGACGGTGCTTTAAAAGCCCAGACTTTCTTTTTCAATTCTTGGTTTTAAACTCTTGAAACACCTAAAATCAATCATCGAAGAGTAAATGCACCCAGAATATCAGTCAGTGGACCTGACGGATTGAAGGGCACCTTTGATTTGTCTTGGTATGGTATAGGGCTGGGACAATCAACAGTCATTTATCCAGCAAGAATGCCAAACCGCTTAGGCTTTGGAAGTATGACCCCATATTTTCTATTCTTTTTCTGCCTTTTTACAGACTGAACGTGCGATAAAAGGTTTAAATGGGGTCATAACATCTTGCATTTTAGGCTCGTTGGAGAAAAGTTTTGATGGGATTGAACACATCAAAGTTTTGTGCTGTTCCTGTAAATCCATCTGCTCTCTTCCTCCATCTCTAGAGGGGGGTTTTCACAAAGCAGGATTAGCAAGTTAGCCCGATAAGTTTAAAAGTACTCTGTGAAATTTTGTTAGCAATTCTCAGTCTGCATAGCTGAATCACATTACATAAACCTAATTTTCTCATTTAGTTTCATAGATTTGGATCAGTATTAGCTAGAGTGGAATAATCTTTCACAGATACGCGGGTTAATTCCTAATCTTAATTTGCGAAATTCTGCTGGGACTCATTGGATCTGAGTTCTAGGTGTTTATAAAACGCTGCAGACACCATTAATTTTATTTTATTTTTTTCTAATTCTTGTTTCTCCTTTGTGTGTCTCCTTTGTGTGTCTCCTTTGTGTGTGTCCTTTATGTGATTTTTGAGCTGACCCTTCTCTTTGTTGCTCACCGTTTTGGTCAGGACTAAATGGGTCAGGCCTGATGGAGCTTGTTGGAGCACACTGACCTGACAATCTTATATTTGCAGTGTGTGTTTTGCCGCTACAAAGGACATCAAGTTCAGCATAGCTGCTTTTTGATAATGGAGGTGTGCTCATCATGTTCTCTAATCTCGAGAAGGGTTAAGAGATCGTTCTGTGGCAGAATAAAACACAGAACTGGATGAAGAGAGCATAGATAACAGAGTGTTCACCTCTAGCTATAGTTTCCACTTCTCTTCAAATACGATTGCTGCGTGAAGTCTTAATTTCCACCACATCTCCGACCCCACACTTAACCCCTCCCCCAAGTTTCCTCACGTTCACACTCGACTTTCCCCCATTTCTCCCATCTCCTGGATATCTCCGTCCCCAAAACCCACCCCTCCATCTGTCTCCAGTGGTTGCCGTGGTTACGGTTTGTTCTGCTCATCAGGCGCCTGCTGCGCCTAAACAGACTGTCAACAGTTTAATTACTCATACTTTCATCCCCATGTCTTTCCTTACTTTCTGTACAGCACGTTTGCTCGCTCCTTCCACGTCTTTACGGGTAATCTCTTGGTAACTCTTCCTTTTGCTCCTTCAATCATTCTCTACTTTTATCTTCACACTTCCTTCCGTCATTTGACATCTTTTGACTTTCATCCTTTTTTTTTTTTTTTTTGTCATCCTTTCGTTGCTACCATTACATCCTACAAATCTACGTTTGACTACCAACTGTCTAATTACTCAATCTTTTATCATTCGGTCTCATCGGATTGATTCCATTCGTTCACACACCTCCTCCTTGTGTCTCTGTTTTATTAGTGCAGTTTTTCTTCTCAGACATTGTTATTCCTCTATTCCCTTATCCCCACGCTCTCTTATCATCCACCTCTCAAGTGTCATCGTTCGCCTTTTCATTCTTCATTACTCAGTCTCTCTACATCCTCCGAGTGTTCCTCCCTATCTTAAACAGTGTTGTAATTACGCCTCTTCATCGCACTATCGTTCTGTACCTCTCTGTCCATCATCTGCCGCTCTGATCCCTGATCCCGACAGCGGCCTGATGCCTCATCCTTTGATCCTCCCACTATTCCTTAACAGCTCAGCTTTTCACATCTCTCCCTTCACCGTTTGTCTTCCCCTCTTTCGTCACTTCATCCATCAAGTGCCATCCTCCTGACAGTAACCACGTTTCCCTTGTTTCAGGGTTTCAAACTTTCCACTTCTCTCCTTGATGGAAAGTTGGTTAAATCAAGCAGGTGCGTGACTTCCTACATCCATCATAGGTTATGATCTTTAATGTTTAATCGTGCCTGTCTTTTTTTGTTTCATGTAATTATCATTAATGTTCATGACTTTTCCACTTATTTGGGTCCCTCATCTTCCTTTTGGCTCTTTATTCATTAATCAGTGAGGCCTCAGACAGTTGAATTGGCAAACATTTGCCAATTCAACATTTCAAGAGGCCTCAGACAGTAGCTGGTTGCCCCACAACCAGCTACTGTCCTGTCACCATAACCAAGTTTGACTTTTTGCTATATTGAAGTGGTGTGCATAAGTATTTAATAATGGGCTCTAATCTACATTTAGCTGGCTTTTCTGGGGTATTTTTACCATTTATAAAGATTAAAAAATGCACAAGAGCAAGTTTAGTGTAATTATTAGCATATCAGACTTATAGTATGCTAGTATAATTATAATTACCCAGCCTAGTCTTAATTCACAGGCCAGATGCAGTTCATTCTGCAAAAATGTCTGGATTTACATGTTGTTTGAGCTAGATCACACAACCAACACTGCCCGGTAACCCATCAGTTAATAAATAAATAATATATATATATAAAACGAGGTTAGTAAATACATCTTTTTATCTCACAGAGGGCAAAACAGGGGTGAAAGACGTGTATATATATATATATATATATATAAAATATATACACACATTTGGTTTGTTTATCTTGGCAAGTCTTGTATTTTGAACAGCAAGTGCCCCATCTGTTCACCTGCCTTACTGTTGCCTGGGAATGATGGGCAGACACCCTCAAGAACAAGAAGCCACGTGGAGCATTAACAACATAATTGAGAAATTGTTCTTTTATTCTGCTTTTATTTCACTGTTTGAGTCAAATGACACTTACCTGCTCTGTATTCTTATGAAACTCAGTAGCAGGAGAGCAGAGCCAATTATAGATTGATGATTTGCTTAATAGAAACCAAACAGCCTCTTTGTTGCACTTCAAAAGGAGTTAGTCGTCATTTCTTCTGCATTAGCTGTGCCCCCGTTCAAAGCGGGAGTCAAAACTGTAAACTATCAACGGAGCAAATAATGAGCCCTGTCTTGGTTATTCAGAAAGCTTATTGTTCACATGTGCCGTATTGTTTTAAGCTGAATCTCGTTTGTTTCCGGGATAATTAATGTTCCTCTAAGGTAGAATTTTCACTTTTGCTATAAGCCGGGCTCGATAATTGGCTCGTCTTTTTACATGGAAAAGCCCTATGGTACGTTGTATTCCCCTTGTAGTTATATCTCCAAATAGCTCATTACTGGTGTTAGTGATCTTTAACAGAGTTTTTGGGGCCATGCAAGACTAATTGTAGCCAATGGTAACCGTAGAAAGCAACATAATGATGACCATCTGTCACTGTTAATTATTTCTTCTCATCTGTTTTTCTATTTTTAATTCCCACCCAGTCAATCCTCATTCATGTATTATTCTAGCCTGGATGTGTCTCTTTCTAACTTTATTATCTAGTCACTCATCTCATGTCTTTTTTCCCCACTGCCTTCATTTTAATGTAGTTTCTTGCTTCTGAAATCTCGATTATACAACACTGCTCATCTTGATCCTTCCATTTCTTTGCTTTTTCACTGTTACCATAAGACCTTCATCACGTTACTGTGTATCCTTTCCTCCTACTTCCACTCATTGTTTTTTCCTTGTCACATGACAGTCTGTCACTGATTATAACTCACCCTCTGCCATCCTTCCATCTGACCTCTCTTAGCCTTCAATACCCACCACCACTATCATGTGCCAACCCTCCCTTTCCTTTTTCCATCTCCGCACATCACTATTTACCCTCTCTCCCTTCTCCGTTTCTTTCTCATCGCCCTCTTATCCTTCTCTGTCCAGTCTGTCTGATCTCCCGTGTCAGTGTGCCAAATCTGCGCGTTTGTGTGCGCACGCAGGCAAAGCTTACGTAAAAAGCCCCGAACGAAGGGAGGTTAGTACGGATCTGTGCTGCTTAGGCTGCTGCTGCTGACACCACAGACACACAGTCATCCCCACAGACACACACACAGCACGCCAGGTGAGATTACATAAAGGCAAGGTGATGAAAGCCAAGCTGAGACACACCTAGTAGGTAATGTGATGCAAGACGGCTGGCTGACACTCAGACACACACAGATTCTCAATGGGAGGGTAGAGTGAAAAAGGATGTGGAAAGAATACAAGGATGATAAGAAAATGTTAAAATTGGCGCCAAGTGGTAGATTTGACACTACTTTAACTTCTGAATGCACTTTTGTGTGTGTGTGTGTGTGTGTGTGTGTCTGTGTGTGGGAGAGACAGGGAGAGGGGCACAGAGCTCTGAGTTCCCAGTTCAGTGAGTGCTGGTGTGCACTGCATTGATTTACTCAATGATTCAGCACAAGAGAGCTAGCCATGCAGATATAGATTTGCCTTTTCTGGTGTGTGTGTGTGTGTGTGTGTGTGTGTGTGTGTGTGTTTGGAATTGCATGGACATTACCTTTTCCGTCTGTGCGGCTCTATAATCCGAATCAGC